TATGACAAACTAGTACAGATCCCGTGCGATGCACGGGGTGCACAATTTTAAGGCTATTTATCCAGGCTTATAATTATATACATGAATAAAGAAAAATATACGGGATATATATAGTACGTGACCCGTGCGAAGCACGAGATATATTTATTTGGAGAATATTATATTATAAGATGCAATATTCAATAAAAATTTATAATACGCAAGAAAATTGTACAATGTTCAATAAAAGATTTATAATATTCAAGTGGAGTCTTAAAGTCTCTTGTACATTAAGACTACTCACATAATAATATTTTAATCAATGAGTTTCTTTTCCTTGTAGCCAAATTGTGAATGTGATTTGAGAAGTACAACAAATCGATATATAGCTGACTAGCTTTTTTCATTGTAGTTATTTTTTTCTTTTTTTTTTTATAATGAATTTAAAGATATTCTAAAATATAGCAAAAATTAATTTTTTTATTACAATTAGGAATTTTACTAAATATAAACTCTCAATCTATGGTGTTAATCAACGTTTAAGTCTAAAAAATTAGGAATTTTTACCTCTTTTAATCAATGTTTAAGTCTAAAAAACAATAGAGTTATTATAAGTTTTTTTTCTACATCTTTTAAAACTTAAATATGAGCATGTTAGGGCTAGCTTGTAAAATAATTAATATATTATCTCACTAGAACATTTATACTAATAAAAATTTAATTTTAGCATATAAATTTATCCCTTGATATAAGAGAAAGTAACAGTTTTACTTATTGTTGTTCACCATATAATATTTAATTATTATTTTATTATATAATAAAAAAATATTGTTAAATAGTATAGTTGAATTGTTATAAAATTATATAATTTTTTTTACAATATGGATTTAATATTTTTTTTATGATTTGATAATATAAACAAATCTATACTTAACTTTGACAAATAAAACAAATAAATACTTTAGTAAGTATTTAATTTATATACTAAATAGGAATATATTTGGTATAATCAAATACCAAATATAATATTCACAAAATAACTCTAACACCTCCCCTCAAGTTGGAGCATGCGGATTCCGGATGTCCAACTTGCCAAGAAAAAAATCAAACTCTCGTTTTCCTAAGGCCTTGGTGAAGATGTCCGCCAATCGAGAATGAGTGGAAACATGAGTGGTAGAAATGAGACATTGAACAAGAGCATCACGAAGAAAATGACAGTCAACTTCAATGTGTTTGGTGCGCTCATGAAAGACAGGATTAGCGGCATTGTGTACCGCTGCTTGATTGTCACAATGAATCCGCATTGGCTGAGAACAAGCCACACCAAGACTACGAAGTAAACCCCGTAACCATTTCAACTCGCAAATAAGCGTCGCCATAGCACGATACTCAGCCTTGGCAGAAGAGCGAGCAACCGTGTGCTGCTTTTTAGTACGCCATGATATTGGAGAATGACCAAGTTGGACGAACCAACCAGTGAGAGACCGTCGAGTAGTAGGGCAAGTTGCCCAATCAGAGTCACACCAACCATAGACCTGTAAGTCACAATCAGACCGAAGAAGAATGCCCTGGCACGGAGTACTCTTCAAATAACGTACCACACGAGTGACGGCATCCCAATGTGCCAGACGAGGCTGATGCATAAACTGAGAGAGCACATGCACAGCATAAGACAAGTCGGGACGAGTGACAACTAAATAAATCAAATGACCCACTAGCCGCCTATATCGCTCCGGATCAGAGAACAGGACCATCGGCCAATGGAAGCTGGTGATTTTGCTCCATAGGAAAATCAACAGGTTTGCCACCAAGTAAGCCAACTTCGCCAACTATGTCAAAAGTGTATTTCCGCTGACACAGAAATATGCCAGAGGAATTCCGAGCAACCTCGATGCCCAAAAAATACTTCAAGACTCCCAAATCCTTCATATGAAAACAACGACCCAAGTACTCTTTAAAGGCAGTAATAGGAGCCGGATCGCTTCCAGAAATGATGAGATCATCGACATAAACCAGGACATGCAAGTACATAGAATCTCGATGTAGAGTGAAAAGTGAGTAATCAGAATAAGACTGCTCAAAACCATAATGTTTAAGAGTAGTAGCAAGCTTTGCAAACCAACAACGAGGAGCTTGCTTTAAACCATATAGAGATCGGCATAATCGACACACCTTACCAGAATCAGGCGAATGAAAACCAGGAGGAAGTTTCATATAGACCTCCTCAGACAGATCCCCATGCAAGAACGCATTGTGCACGTCCATCTGATGAACCTCCCAATGTCGAGCACCTGCAACAGCAAGAAAAGTCCGTACAGTAACCATCTTGGCGACAGGTGCAAATGTCTCCTGATAGTCAATGCCCTCCACCTGTCAGTTACCCAAGACAACCAAACACGCCTTGTAGCGCTCAATAGAACCATCAGAGTTATGTTTAATCTTATAAATCCACTTACAACCAATCGCGTGTTTCCCAGTAGGAAGAGAAACAATATCCCACATACGATTCGATTCTAATGCTCGAATTTCCAGTTGCATAGCCGAACGCCAGCGACTATCTCGAACAGCCACAAAAAAGGTCCGAGGCTCAACAACAGAAGAAATGGATGCCAAAAATGACTGATGTGCAGGTGAAAATGAATAACAAGAAACATAGTGTGCGAGAGGGTAAGGAGTACCATACGATGAAGCGAAGGAGGAGGCAGAGTGAGGAGACGAGGAACGAATAGTGTGAGAGACAAAGTCGGCAAAACGGGAAGAAGGCCTCTTGAGACGATGACCACGACCCAGCACTTCCTCTTGGGGAGGATTACCCCCCCTATCGACAACGACCTCAGAACCCCCAGTGGCAGCGGTACACGTTGTAGTGGAAACCACCACATCATCATCTTCGTCAGAAACAACAGGCCATGGAACCACAGGTGCGGAGGCAGTATCAAGAGAAGGAGATGTCAAATAAGGAAACTCTGATTCACAGAATTTCACATCACGTGAGACCAGAAAAGTGCGGCTGTCCAAATCATAAACACACCACTCCTTTTGACTAGATGAATAGCCAACAAAAACACATCGACGACTCCGACTTGCAAACTTGTCACCATCCCTATTCTGATTGTGCACGTAGCACAGACAGCCAAAAACACGTAAATGCGCATAGTTGGGAGGTTCGCCATACAAAAGTTCATAGAGAGTCTTGCCGGATAATAGAGGAGTAGGCGTTCGATTAATCAAATAGCCAGCAGCAAGTACACAATGTCCCCAGAACTCAATCGGTAAATGGGCATGAAAGCGTAATGCTCGAGCAACATAAGAATGTGCTGATGTTTGCGCTCAACACGTCCATTTTGTTGAGGAGTTCCGACACAAGAAGTTTCATGAACAATCCCTTGTTGACGGAAATAATCGCGCATACGAGTAAATTCAGTCCCATTGTCACTGCGAAGAGTTTTAACCAACACACCAAATTGCCTTTTCACAAAAGCAAAAAATTGCAGTAGAGTAGAAGACACCGAAGATTTGTCATCCAATAAGAAAATCCAAGTACCTCGAGAATAGTCGTCAACAATAGTAAAAAAATATCGAGCACCACTAAAGGCAGGAACTCTATAAGGTCCCCACACATCACAATGAATCAGACTGAAAATAGAACTGCTAATACTGCGACTACGAGGAAAGCTAGCACGAGATTGCTTCGCCCGACATCAAACATCACAAGCTTTATTCGAGACCAAGGAGGGAGACTCGACAAAAGGCAATTGACCGAGGACAGTAGAAGATGGATGACCCATCCGCTGGTGCCACAAGTGCTGCACAACTGAAGACACCCGAGAAGCATTGGCAGTGACCGCCCCTCGGAAAAAATAGACTCCCCCCAGCTGTTCACATGCTCCAATTACCGTCCTCGAAGTGAGGTCCTGAATAGCACAATATTTACTAGTGAAGGTAGCAACACAACCAGATTGTTCCAACAACCGAGATAAAGATATCAACTGCACTGAAGACTTGTCAACGAACAAAACATCATATAAAATAATACGAGAACCGAGATGAACAGTTCCAGCTTTACACGCAGTGGTGAGCGTGCCATTAGGTATCTGCACAGACCGGGACGGAATATCCCGTATATCAGAAAAAAATTCCAAGTAGCCTGTCATATGATGTGAAGCACCGCTATCATACATCCACTCATAAGGACTACGCTTACCGAATAAAGGAACATTGTTGCGGGCAGAAGTGACGAAGTGTACAATGGACTCCCATTGGGCATCAGTCAACCCAGAAATAGCCGCCCTATCGAAGTCCATCAATGAGAATGTTGACCCGCCATGTATGGAGCCAGAGGTACTAAGTGTAGTCCCGTTAGCGAAGGCGGCGTTGACAAGACTGACAGCGGCTGGTCCGTCACAGTGTCCGCCACGACCAGCTCGTCCCCCGGCGTGAGCAACGGATCCCCCATTACTCGATTCCCCCATAATTCACGCTTGGAACGGTAATTGATTTTCTTTCTTTTTTTTGGTTGTCGTGCCTGGCCCGAAAATTAAATTGAAACTGAAACTCAAAATGAAGGGATGGAAACAAAACGAAACTCGCTGCAGCAATTTNGAGAAGGCAGCCGAAAGAGAAAAAAATGAGTCTCAGTCGATCGAGACTTGAAATCCGAAAGAAAAAAAAAAATTTAACCGATCTTTGATACCATGACAAATGTGAAAATCAATTCATTCACTCAAAAAACTTATATCCAATAGATTTACTAGAGCCCTAAGATATAGATACAAAATGAAGCCTTAACATAAAAGATACACAAAATCTCTAAGATACTAAAATCTATCTATACTAAAAATACGATATTCACAAAATAACTTCAACAGTTTAAATATGAACTTGGCCCAACCATAGACCCGTGGTCAATGAACTTGGTCGGGCCAGCTCGACGGGCCGAGTCCAGGCCAGGTTGACGGGCCGAGCGGCCGTTGGCCATGTTTAACTACAATCATCCGAAATGTGGTCGTCAAATGCTTCAACCCAACCCATTTCTTACTCCACACCAAGTCAACAGAGTCTTCTCCCACGCGCATCAATTAGCGCGTGCGGACCTTCTCTCATTTCCCTTCTGAAACGCCTCTCAAATAGCCCGACCGTACTTCTCCAGAAATCTCACAGTAACATCACAACAGTTAAGGCCGAAGGTACAACAGAAACTGCACTGCGTCCAACATACTGACAGCCATGAACGTGTTCCGGCTCGCTGGAGACATGACCCACCTCCTTAGCGTCATTGTTCTCCTCCTCAAGATACGAACGATGAAATCATGTGCTGGTTTGTACCCTAACGTACAACACTGTTCATTTGCGTTTACACGCATGTACACACTAGCGCGAGTGTTTGTTTATGTGTGCGCGGTTTAGTGTTTATCTCTGTTCATGTGTTGGATTTTTCGATTTGACTTGATTCATCTGTTACACTCGTACTTTCCTAGCTGCTTACGGAATCGAATTGGGAAAGTTGAATGAGCGCTTAGCTGCATTAATTTGCTTATTTATTTGCTATTTCTCTAAAATTAAGGAATAGTTGGCACAAATTGATGGGTAATTTCCAGTTTGACATGTTGTCTTGTTATTATAAGTACTTATAATCCAGTAATGAGCATATTATTAGCAGATATCTGTAATCCTATGCACAAGGACAATGCAAGAATGAGTTCTGTTGCCAATTATTCGTACTAGTGCGAATTAATTGGGCCGTCGATAGTCATTTTACTTAATGTGTGTATATAAGCTCCAGATTGACAAAAATCTTGAATCTCTCATGTGCATTTGGCCTTACTCTGCGTTCTCTTTAGCTTTTTACCGTATATGTATCTCATCCCGTGGGCCCCACGTTTTGCGTTGTTTTCTTTCTTCAGGGATTTCATTGAAGACCCAGGAGCTTTACACCATTGTTTTCCTTGCTCGGTACCTCGATTTGTTCACGAGGTACTACTCCTTTTACAACACGGTGATGAAGCTGGTTTTCATTGGGACATCGGTCTGTATTGTATGGTACATGAGGTATCACAAAGTTGTTAAGCAAACATATAATAAAGATCAAGATACTTTCCGGCATTATTTCCTGATCCCTCCTTGCCTTCTGCTGGCCCTTTTAGTCCACCGATCGTTCACTGTAATGGAGGTAAGGAACTCTTACCGTATTGTATTTAGATTGACTTTAATGCAGTGGAAAATAATGTCAAGTGAAGTGTCTTAATTTGGGATATATTTTAGTTCATCCAGTGAATGGCTTGTTTGGGAAATTTTTTAGGGATTAATGTAAAACCAAACCATGGGGTTTAACTTTATTGCTAGAAAAGGAAATTTGGGTAAACTTAAATGTAGAACAACCCCTCTAGGTTGCATTTTGTTTAATAAAACCACACCACTCAACTGTTGTAAATATGAAAATACATCACATATTATCAGAAGATAACCGAGGTTTTAAACTAGGCCAAATCGCAACTGGATTATGTGAGTGTTGTATTACAAGTTTGAACCTGCAATAATGGTGTAACTGTTGCTCCTTTTACTCAGGGCTGTTTTCAGTAATCGAGGAGGTCAATAAGTGGCATTTATCTACCTCGCATGGTTACGTTTATGTTAAATAAAGGTTGAGAAGTGGTCTAATGACTTGTAACTGAGAATGAGCTTCTCTTGTTTGCAGGTTCTCTGGACATTCTCTCTTTATCTAGAAGCAGTGGCGATTTTACCACAATTGATACTATTGCAGCGGACTAAGAATATCGACAACTTGACTGGGAATTACATATTTCTTCTTGGGTAATACTTATTAAGTTATAATAGAAAAGCGTAATTCTCTTTCATTCTCCAAATTGGTGATTCATATTGATTTCAAGAAGATCTCACTCGTGAGAGTAATTGGTGCAAGTAGTTGGATCCAAGAATAAAAAATGCATTGGCCGTGTATTTTGACAAGATTATGAAGGCAAAATGTTTATGCAAAATTCACTCTTTTGAAGACTGCAAGTCTCTAGACTATAATGGGCTGGAAATTTTAGTCTTCACATTGCTTCTTTTGGTGGTTACCTGTTTTAAGTCATTTGTTTGTTTTGCCACCGGCTATGTTATCTGATCTCGTGGTGGTTATTGACGTAATGAATTACCTGAGGTAAAAGCCAATTTATGTGTAATGAGTCGTTAGTTTTAGCCATTTGGTACATTTTCATAGTAAAATTGATGTTGATAGTCATGCCACGAGTAATTTGATACTCATAGAATTAGTAATTTGTTTTTCGGTTTCGGAGATAAATAGAAAAGGAAATAAACTGAAATTTAGCATTACTTGGCACAAAAGAGTAAACAGGGTGGATCTATGTTATCAAAATGGTTTTGTTAGGCGTATGAGCTCAATATATCTTCCTCTCCTTCAATCATATTATTTATTTTGCTATCAGAACTTAGGACTGACTGTGATTATAGCATTGCTCATCCTCTCTAACCTTTCTTTTTCTTTTCCTGTTTCTTAGTGCATATCGGGCTTTCTATCTTGTTAATTGGGTCTACCGATTCTTCACGGAGCAGCATAAAGCTCGCTGGATCCGTAAGCCTTTGCATCTTCTAGTGTAAATTTTTATTGTATTGTTTTTATATATCTAAAGTAATCTAATTAAGACATTCAAATTCTTGCAGCTTGGTTATCAGGACTTGTACAGACTGCACTTTATGCCGACTTCTTCTATTACTACATAAAAAGGTATTTGAACAGATGATTATTAATTTAACTAATTTTCCTACAGCTGTATTTGTTATATTTTTTTCTTAATTTTCTTCCTACTGTCTCATATTTTATTTATTCATTTATTTTTCACCCCTGCAGCTGGAAAAACAATGAGAAGCTCAAGCTTCCTGCCTGAATTTTAAGATGGAGATATTCGATTGCTGTCGAACAACATTACATGAAAAAATACGGGGATTACTACCTAACCTGTCTGACACATTAGAATATATGTCGAAAATGGTATTCGGCTTTGCACTTTCCTTTTTCCCTTCTTTTTTTTTTTTTTTTTTTTTTTTTTT